GTCAAGATTGATCATTAGCGGCCGCCAGGTTCTCTACAGCCACTACCAATACCGAAGTGGAAATGGGAGAGCATTTCTATGGATTTTGTGGAGGGATTACCAAACTCTTTCAAAAATCACAACTCTATTTGGGTTATCGTGGACAAACTGACGAAATCAGCTTACTTTTTGCCTATTCGTACTGACTACACTTCGGAGCAGTTGGTGAGACTTTACATTGCCGAGATTGTGAAGTTGCACGGTATTCCATTGTCTATTATATCGGACAGGGATTCGAGCTTTGTGTCAGAATTCTGGAAGAGTTTTTAGCAGGCTTTGGATACAGAGTTGCATCTTAACACTGCTTATCATCCTCAGACTGATGGACAGACTGAGCGGGTGAATCAGATCATGGAAGATATGCTTCGGTCGTGTGTTCTTGATTTCAAGGGCCATTGGGAGGATTACCTACCGCTTGTGGAGTTTGCTTATAACAATAACTTCCAGAAGACTATTGGGATGGCACCATTTGAGGCGTTATACGGCCGACCGTGTTGATCTCCTGTTTGTTGGTTGGAGGTTGGTAAGAGCAGATTCTTGGGTCCTGAGTTCATCAGGGATACTTCTGAGAAGATTACTCTTATTCGAGATTACATGCGTACTGCTCAAAGTAGGCAGAAGAGCTATGCTGATCGTCGCACTCGTGCTTTGGAGTTTCAGGTTGGGGATCAGGTTCTACTCAAAGTGTCGCCTATGAAGGGTGTAATGCGCTTTGGGAAGAAAGGGAAGTTGTCACCGTGGTTTGTCGGTCCATTTATGATTACGGATCGAGTTGGAGCTGTCGCTTATCGATTGGCACTTCCGGATAATTTGGATCGTGTCCATAATATGTTCCATGTTGTGGAAATTTCTGCGAGATGAGGATCGGTACCATCATATTGATGTTGGGGAGATTGAGTTGCAGCCGGATGCAACTTATCTGGAGCCACCGTGTCGTATTATCGACTGTCGGGATCAAATCCTCCGTAATAAGGTTATCCCTTTGGTTCGTGTTCAGTGGAGTCATCACAATGAGGCTGAGTTGACTTGGGAACGGGAAGATGTCATTCGCTCGCAGTTTCCTGAAATTTTGGAAGAATGTAAGAGTGAATTCCGAGGACGGAATTCCTTTTGTTATGGGGGAAGAATGTAATACCCCTAATTTCAAAAGGATAGTCCCCTAATTTCAAAAGGATAGTCCTGGTATTTTAATTTATTATTTTTATTGTTTAAATTGCATTTTTAATTATTGAAGTGTATATGTGTTAATTTTATTGCTAACATTGTGGTAAGTTATTTAATTTTTCATTAGTGTGATTTAATTGATTAGCTAATTGTTTTAATTTAATTGATTTAATTATTTAAGTGGTTTAATTTAGTTATTTTACTTGAATTAATTTAATTGAATTTAATGGTTTAATTGTTTTAATTTAATTATTTAATTGCCTTGATTTAATTAAATTTAATTAGGTTTCTATCGTGACTGTATGGGTGGTTGCACACAGGTAGTTATGCAATAGGTTTACAATTCAAAACCGACGTTGATTATAACCTAGGTTGTTCTATGGGCCGAGTAAATCAGATTAGGGTTTAGTTGAGCCTAGGATTAGTGTGGCCTATAAATATTCACCTAAGGTTCTACCTAGGGTTTTAAAACTTAAATACGTCTTTGGAAGCAGAGAGAGAACAGAGGAAGATTTACAATATTTGGTGTTCACCGGAAATCTTAGAAAACAGCGTAGAGATTTTGAACAAAGATCTCAAAGGCAAGTTTTATCCTTACTCTCTCCCTTAGGCTTCGTGTTCTTTGCATACTTAATAGTTCCAGGTGAATTACATGTTTTAAAAAAATAAAAACGTTACCTGTTTCATGGTTCGAATTTTAATTGTGACAGTATGTGTTTTATATCTGCTAAATCGTATAAACTTGAAACTTTCTTGCATAGTTCTTTGTTTGAACCCATCTTAGCAATGTAATAAGGACTTAAACAAGGGTTGGTAATCTACTGGGACTCAGTTACAAGTTCTGGGAACCTAGGCAGAGAAGTACCGGGGGTGAAAACGACGTCGGAAAAATTAAACACGGAGAAGAGGAGGGAGAGAGCCGGCTCCTTTTGGATTAGAGCCGGCTCCTTTTGATTGGAGGTGGCTCTAAGGCCTTTGGAGGCGGCTCCAAGTTTTTTTGGAGCCTGCTCCATTTTTCTTCTTTCAGTGTTTCTTGTTCTGTTAACGTGTTCTTCAGTTTTCAGTGACGAAGCTTTTCGGTTATGAATTTCTAAATTTTCTAAGGAGAATAAATACTATAGTGGAGGTTTTAGAGGTTTTCCAGAGTAGGATTAAAGTCTCAAGGGATAGAATAATATAGATTTAAACACCGAGTTTTAATCGTTAAAACTGTATGGATTTCTTATGTGCTTTACAGAACTGTTTGTATTCGGACGTTTATATTTCTTAATTATAATAGAATTTTCTGTGAGAGCTTGTCCATTGCCAATTATGTATTCGTGGAATGGAAATACATGCTAGAAATCTATAGTTTGCTAAAGATTAATTGATGGTCAAATTGTAAAATTTAATGCAACAATTTGTTGGGCAGGAAATTAAAGGTGTGATAAATTGCCTAAATTTATTATACAGGTTAAGGAACTAAGTAACCTAATAATTATTTAGGCTCTGTTAATTATGAATACTGGGAAGAAAATTTATATTTACAAATACAGCTTCACGGGGTCAGGTATTAGTTCCTGTGATGTGTTTCTATGAGATGGTTAATATGTAACTGTGTTGTATAAGCATATAAATATTATATTTATTATGTTTTCATTCTTATCATGGAATGGTTGAAATTGATATTTATATTGTCAATGCTCCATCAACTGCTGGATTTATTTAAGCATATTTGATAATGTATTCTAAAATGCTTAGTATGGAATTGTTGATATTGTTATTTAATTGTCAATGCCTTATCAACTGTTGGATGGATGGAATTGTATGCACCGGTATGGGACGGTGTCATACTAGGTTTGGAATAGCACAAGTTGCTAAAGTCCTACCTATTTTGGAGTAAGGGTACGGGTTATTAAATAAAATCCTTCTTATATTTATGAGTCGGTGCGGTTGAATACGCCGAACGACTTACTGATTTCTTGTGGATGGTTAGGAATGAAGTTTAGATATATTTTTATGATACCGCGACATGAGCTTGAGTTCCAATGTCGACGATTAGGGTGCGTATATGCAATTGGATGTGTAGCTAGCTGTGAAGGTTGAGGTATACCCTGTTTAGGCTTAGGTACTCATGCCCACTCAGGTGCATTTTGTGTGATGTCTTCTATTCAGGTTGAGACCCTCTTCATAGTCTAGCGAGAGTCCAGTAGTGTGGATATATTTATGTACGAATTATTAGTTATTGTTGAACTTTTTAGTATGTACATGCGTATCGAGTCTCTGCTTGGATTGTAGTAGGATAGAACTTGTTCGTGGGCCTGACCCACTTCTATTTTTCAGATGTACGTCAGTTCCAGTCTTGAGTTTGTTCGTGCTGAGCAGAGACGATCATTAATTCTTCCGATGATGTAGGATCTTTCTTCACGATTTGATCATGGTTTTCCTTCAGTTTGGGATTTTTCATTAGGGGTCCACTAGAGATGGATTCCTGAGTTGTTAAGTGATTGGATTATCGAATTTTAAGTTTATAATTTTTAAAAGATTTTAGTTTAGATTTCTTTCAGCTTAAACTATTATTTCTTATTTCATTTTGTAATCTGTGTTCGTTATAACATATTAATTATTTGATATCCCTCGGGTTTGGGCCTGGACCTGATCAACCCGTGTCTTGGATCCGTGGGGTATCACAAAACCCATGCTATCTCCTTTTGCCACCTTTATCGGCCACCACTCCCATCACTACCACATCAACAGCAATCGAATTGGGTGGATAGAAAGAGAGAGGCTTAGAGGGAGAAGTAAGATTGTTGAATTTGGTGGCCGCTAGCACCAGTGCTCACTTACCTCGCCGTCGAATCTGGCAGCGATCCAATCACCATTCAACGTGCCCTAGATCCAATGTGCCGTAGATCCAACAATCATTACGGGAGAATTAGGATTGCTGAATTTGGTGCCTATTTTCATTACAATCAGGGCACTTTACCACAACAGTGTTCATCTTTTCTTTTTTTTTTGTCGGCCCATATCTTCCCTCGCCGCCAATATTATCCTCATTTTGTACCTTCCATTATAGGCAAAATAGGGCAAGAACTTCAAACCCTCGCACACAAAACTAGATGTCTCTTTGGCGTCATAGTTGTATTGGTAGTGAATAAGAAGGCAACTTTTGAAACTTAAATTAGGATCATCTTTTTTCTGGTTTGGAAATTGATGGAGTTGGTGGTGGTGATAGGTGAGAAGAGAGAAAAAATGAGAGTGAGAGAGAAAAGGATAATTTTGTACTTACAACAAAGGTTTTTTGTAATTTGATGACACATTAAGGGTAATAGGGTCTTTTTTACTTAGTTAAAGGGCATTTTGATCACTTCAACCAAATTTTCTGACAAAAAGTACCAATTTTTGTATGGTGGGGAAGTCTTTGCAAAAGATAATTAAATCTGAGGGACTCTTTGTAACCAAATAACCAACATTAGGTTTACTTGCAATTAGGCCAAACCGCTATCATTATAGTTTGCCTTAATAATAAAGTAACCATTCCTATAGGGCTACTGTGGAAAATGCTCATTTAACTTAGAGAGGTAATCCATGACAACCCACAAAAGTAAACAAAAACAATGAAACCCCCATCAAAACTGTCTTATAAATATTTGCTCTAACTCCATCCATTCTTATATAACATAATTAGCAATCTTAAACACTACAACCTACTCTCTGTTCTTCCAGTCTTTGTTTTTTCAACTCATAATTAGAATGGTTGGTGAATTGATTCTCTTGGAGTTCTAGCCTAGCCTTTTTACACAGAGGGTGAAAATTGCCTTGTCAGAGAAAGGCATATATAGGCTATGAGTGCAAAGAAGAGAACTTGATGAACAAGAGTCCTCTGTTTCTCAAGATGAACCCTGTTAATAAGCAAATCCCTGTTTTGATCCATAATGGGAAACCGATATGCGAATCCCTCATCATTGTTCAATACATTGATGAGGTTTGGAAGGATCAATCTTCATTGTTGCCTTGTGATCTTTACAAGCGCGCCCAAGCAAAGTTCTGGGCTGACTACATTGACAAAAAGGTCTTTTTCTTTTCCTTTTTCTTTTGAGTAAATTATTTGCACCTCCCTGGTGAATGCCTAAATAATAAGGATTTCCCTTTTATATGCATATAGTTAGCAATGGAAGGAATTTAGTTTTCAGCAAAGGTGAAACCCAAGAAGCAGGAAAAAAGGGGCTCATAGAGTGCTTCAAAGTGTTGGAAACAGAGCTCGGAGAGAAGACTTATTTTGGGGGAGAGACCTTTGGTTTTGTGGATATTGCACTTATACCCTTTTACAGTTGGTTTTACGTCTACAAGACATGTGGCAACCTTAGTATTAAGGAAGAGTGCCCTAAAATTAGGGGTGGTAAATGGGAAGGTTGGGTAGGGTTTGGATTGGGTTGAAAATGAACAGGTCAACATGGGTTAAGACCCATATTCAATTCGTTCAGAACGGGTTAAAAATGGGCGAGTTAAAAAGAACAGGGTCAACCCGTTATGACCCGTAGACCTATTAATTATTATTTTTCATTTTTCATGTTTCATTTTTAAAATATTATTATTTTTTTTAAAATATTATTTTTATTTTTATTTTTAAATTTTTTTATTATTTTTTATTTTAAAAAATTTAATTTATTATTATTTTTTTATTTTTTAAATTTTTTGTATTATTTATTATTTTTAAATTTTTAAAAATTATTTTTACTTTTTAAAATTATTTTTTTTAGAAGAAATTTCTAGAGAGAGAAGCTTAGAGAGAGGGGATTGATGAGAGACAAATTTAGAGAGAGGGGATTGTGAGTGAGAAAATTCTAGAGAGAGAAATGAGTTGAGTAAGTGAAATGTATATTGTGTGTTTATTATGTGATGAGTGAAATATGGGTTGAATATGGTACCCATCTTGACCTTCAAATTAAGTGGTTAAACCCATCTTGACCCTCACATTAAATATGATTTAGCCATAATTATTAAAAACGGACGAATATGAGCGACTTGATAATTTCTAATCCATTTTATCACCCCTACCTAAAATTGTGACATGAGCTAAGGGATGCATGGAGAAGGAGAGTGTGTCCAAGTCTTTTCCAGACCAGTACAAGTTCTTTGACTTCTCCAACGAGATGGCAAAGAAGAAGTTTGGCTTGTTTATGAATGGCACAATAACTAATGAGAAATAGAGATACAACTTGCCTCGGAGAATTAATTACTAGTATTTGGAATTATCTCTCTCCCTTCTCGTCTTTTTCTCTTTTCTGGATTTAACTCGGTTTTTGTACTTTTTATTGTGCTCTTTTGTTACATTTACAATAAAGAATGGACTTCAAGTCTGTATTGCAGCGATAAAAAGTTCCCAGTTGAGAAAGTCGGACCAGTCTGAAGTAGTCGACCAACCTGACTCCTTTAAAATAGCAATCTTCAAGAATTTGAATCACAAACCCTAATATATATTGAATGTACATTTATAATAAAGTTAAAAAAAAAAAGAAAAAGATGATAATATAAATATTACAAGTCATGATTAAAGAGTTATTCAAAATAATTTTTTTTTTGTTTTTTAAGGTCAATATTAGAAAAACATAAAAGATAGATGTGATGGGATGTAAACAACTTCTTTTGTTATTTAATGTCAATATTAGATAAACATAAAAGATAGATGTGATATAATAAGTAAGATTGAAGTAGCGTAGTTAATTTTATTTTATATAACAAACGAAATTTAAAAGAATTTAAAATAATTTAAAATAATCTTTCCATAATTCATGTATATTAAAATTTTAATTAGTAAAATATCTTTATAGGGTAGGAAGGATAATGGGCAGCGGAAGGTACACGTTTTGTGGGTCCATTAATTAACATGGAACCCAGAAGGAAAGAAGTGTTTTAAAATAATCTTTCCATAATTCATGTATATTAAAATTTAATTAGTAAAATATCTCTATAGGGTAGGAAGGATTATGGGCAGCGGAAGGTACACGTTTTGTGGGTCCATTAATTAACATGGAACCCAGAAGGAAAGAAGTGTAAGGTAAGTTAAGGATTATGGTAGAATGAGACTTTTTTACACCAATTAATTAATACCCCAACTTTATCATCCAAAGACACCTTCCAAGAAGGTTACCAAGCACACATATTCTTGCGTCACTGTTCCTTTTCCGTCAACAAGTTTAAAAGACTTCTACCTAGTGGTCCTAGTTCTAGATTTTAGAAGAAGAGTCTAGAATTTCTCGAACATACCCCAATGACATTTAGGACCATCTTGTTGCTTGGGTTACGTTGTAACGAATGACAATTTCATATGAATAATTATAGACTAGTGTAGCGGGATTGTCGGTAAAGAGTTAGATTTTTAGTGTTCATACTTTGGATTAGGATTCTCTAAATTAAAATTTCTCTATACTATTTTAAGTTGAATCTTAAAAATTTTGATATGCGGCGTTTATAACAAATCTATGACTCATAATGCATCACATTAACAAATTAAAAATAAAAAAATAAAAACTAAAGTCGTTTAACAAATTCTTCCACTTCTTCATCTTTCATTGTCTTTCCTCTATTCTAATTCTTTTTTTTTTTTAATGTTTAAACCTGAACTCTACTCCTTCCAATTTCCTCCCACCGGACATAAAGCTAAGTTGTTCAGGTTTTTTTTTTTTTTTTTTTAATCTAAATCAATGAAATAATTGTGTTCTTTTAAATATATGATTTGTTGATTACAACAAGTTGGTAACAGTATTCCATGAAGAACCCACTAGTTTCAGGTATAAGAGATTAGAAAAAATAGAGAGTTGGAGAAGTTTTAGCATTCCTTAACCACGTCTCTTTATTCATCAGTTAAACAACTTTACCTTTTATTTTTTTTATTTTTAATTTGCTGATATGGTGCATTATGAGTCATATCTCTATTATAAAGGCTACATGTCAAAGTTTCTAAGATTCAACTTAGGATAATGTAGAAAAGTTTTAATTTAGAGAATCCAAGTCCGCATGATTTATGATTTTAGGTTCAAATATTTTTTAGTATTTTAAAAACTTTTTATACTTTTCATATTGAGTAAAAATAATAATTCTTCAATTTGAACATTATAAGACCTAAAAAATTGGAATTTTGGGATTATCACATAATTTTGAATTTTTTTGAGTTTTTATAAAATAAAAAAAATTAAAACTGAAATATCTAAAATACCTTTAAAGATATTTTAGAGTTTTTTTTGACTGAATTGTTACAAAATTTTGCACATAGTAAATAGTGATTTTTCGTGGGTACCATAGCCTTACTTTAATTGTCAATGTCGTCCTTAGAAAAATAGTTAAAGTCATCCCTGGGACAAAATATATTGCAAAAAAGTAGTCATGACTCAGACAACTTTATTGCATAATAATAAAGTAACCATTCGTATAGGGCTGCTGTGGAAAATGCTCATTCAAGACGTAAACCGTGACGACCCACAAAAGTAAAAAAAAAACAATGGGACCCCCATCAAAACTGTCCTATATATACTTGCTCTAACTCCATTCATTTTCATATAACACAATTAGCAATCTCAAACACTACAACCCACTTTTTGTCCTTCCAATCTTTGTTTTTTCAACTCATAATTAGAATGGCTGGTGAATTGGTTCTCTTGGAGTTCTGGCCCAGCCCTTTTGCACAGAGGGTGAAAATTGCCTTGGCTGAGAAAGGCATAGGCTATGAGTGCAAAGAAGAGAACTTGATGAACAAGAGTCCTCTGCTTCTCAAGATGAACCCTGTTAATAAGCAAATCCCTGTTTTGATCCATAACGGGAAACCGATATGCGAGTCCCTCATCATTGTTCAATACATTGATGAGGTCTGGAAGGATCACTCTCCATTGTTGCCGTGTGATCCTTACAAGCGCGCCCAAGCAAGGTTCTGGGCTGACTACGTTGACAAAAAGGTCAGTTTTCCAATCTTCCATTTTTTTCAACTCCCTCTCCTATATTAGATGTCCCCTTTGAAAATTTTTGACTCACTAACACTTTTTATTTTTGAATTATTTAATATTATTTGTAGTCATATTCCTTTTATATACTTCCTCTATCTTATATTAAATGTTCACAATTTGACATTTTAAAAATTTTGAATCAAAATTTTCAAAATTGACAACAAATATGGAACGAAAATAGTTCTTTTTTTTTCTTTTACTTTTGAGTAAATTATTTGTACCTCCCTGCTGAATGCCTCAATAATAAGGATTTCCCTTTTATATGCAGATATTTAGCAATGGAAGGAGTTTAGTTTTCAGCAAAGGTGAAACCCAAGAAGCAGCTAAAAAGGAGCTGATAGAGTGCTTCAAAGTGTTGGAAGCAGAGCTTGGAGAGAAGACTTATTTTGGGGGAGAGACCTTTGGTTTTGTGGACCTCGCACTTGTACCCTTTTACTGTTGGTTTAACCTCTACGAGAGTTGTGGCAACTTTAGCTTCGACCAAGAGTGCCCTAAAATAGTGGCATGGGGTAAGAAGTGCTTGGAGAAGGAGAGTGTGTCCAAGGTTCTTCCAGACCAGCACAAGGTCACTGACTTCTTCACGGCGATGGCTAAGAAGTTTAGTGCTCAGTAAAATTGCAGAAGAGAACCTCTCCATATTTATAAAGCATAATAAGAAATAGATATGGTTAACTACTATTTGGAATTCTCTCTCTCCCCTAATCTTTTTCGCCTTTTTTTTTTTTTTTTTTTTCTGTCGTTTTAAGTTTTGGTTTTTGTACTTTTTTATGTGTTATGAGGTGTTCTCTTTTTGTTTGGTTTACAATAAAGAAAATATTACCTCCGGTCTTAAATTAAATGTTCTGTTTGAAAAACCGAGTAACAAAACATTTTTTTTTTTAAACAGAGTGAATATTTTATATTATCAATAAGAGATATTGTGAGAATTTGTTTATGTTCAAGTCCTTGTCTAAGATATTTTTTTCTTTTGGAATGACTAGTCTCAATTAATTCCAAAAAAATATCTTAGACAGATATATATATTTTTTTTTTGCAAGAATTTCATTCGGTTCAAGCAAGTCCTTGTCTAAAACTTTTGTTTTCTTCTTTTGGAGTGGCTAGTGTCAATGAACCAAAAAAAAATAATAATAAATTTAATAATAAAATAAATCTAGACATATTTTCTTTTTTCGGTAATTAAACCCATAGATATTATAGAATTAATCTTTGCCATGAGTTGTCATTTGTGTTTGGCAATGAGAGTATTCTGAAAGAAAGTACTCCCGATGCATTATGGCCGAGAATGATGCATCATTGCAACCAATTATCAGTGCACAGCATGCATGACGGTGATCGGGTACTATTTCCATTACACTTAATTAATCCGACTCAGGGGCTGATGGTAGGAGCTTGGGACTGGCATTTACTTGGCCAATGTTCGACTCCTAACAAGCCTTCTAAATTCTTATAATTTAACTGGTGCTGTAGTTGAAGGGCTGATTACAGTACCCTCGGTTGCTCAAATGTCACATATTTGTCCTGTAATATATGGATAGATATAGGCCTAGAAATTCTTCAGTCCTATCCATATAATTTTTTTGGTCTCCATTTCAGCTGTGCTTCTCATGACAGCTATGTAAATACTTCCTTTCTAAAATGTCCAACCATTAGAAAGCAGTTAATTTCATAAGCCACACCGACTTTAATAATTAATTTTATTTAGGTATGTTCAGTTGCATAAAATTAAAATTTTAAAATTAAAATTTGTAAAATTTGAAAAAAAAATAATTAAAAAAATTGATCTAAATTTTTTTCAAATTTTCCAATTGCAACCAAACACACCCTTAATTTCAATGTCATTCTTACACTTTTGGAAAGCCAAAAAAAAAAAATGAGTCGTCCTCAGGACAATTTTTCTTGTGGAAAATACAAGGAAAATTCTACAACAATAAACCCCCCAACTTCATTCTTTTTCTCAAACACTACAACCCATCTGCAGCAACCCACTTATTGCTCTTCAATCTCCAATCTTCGGTTTTTTTTTTCTTTTTCGGAGTTATAACAATGGCGGACGAATTGATTCTCGAGTTCTGGACTAGCCCTTTTGCACAGAGGGTGAAAATTGCCTTGGCTGAGAAAGGCATAGACTATGAGTCCAAAGAAGAGGACTTGTTGAACAAGAGTCCTCTGCTTCTAAACATGAACCCCTGTTAAGAAGCAAATCCCAGTTTTGATCCACAACGGGAAACCAATATGCGAGTCCCTCATCATTGTTCAATACATTGATGAGCTCTGAAATCATAAATCTCCATTGTTCCCTTGTGATCCTTATAAGCGCGCCAATGCAAGTTTCTGGGCTGATTACATTGACAAAAAGGTCAGTTCATTTCATATACACTTCTCTTTCTGAGTCACAACACTATTAGCCGCTAGAAACATGTGTGTGTGTGTGTGTGTGTGTGTATTGTTGTAGTATCTTGTAACCCTAATTCATCTTATGAGTGTCATATATTGCAAAATTAAGTCTTACAATCCTTTATATGTAGATATATGGCATTTGAAGGAATTTAGCTTTTACCAAAGGTGTTGGAAGCAGAGCTAGGAGAGAAGACTTATTTTGGGGGAGAGACCTTTGGTTTTGTGGATATTGCACTTATACCCTTTTACAGTTGGTTTTACGCCTACGAGACATGTGGCAACCTTAGCATGGAGGAAGTGTGCCCTAAAATTGTGGCATGGGGTAAGAGGTGCATGGAGAAGGAGAGTGTGTCCAAGTGTGTTCCAGAGCAGTACAAGCTCTTTGACTACTTCAGCGAGAAGGCAGAGAAGTTTGGCTTCTTCATGAATGGCACAAGAACTAATGAGAAATAGAGATACAGCTTGTCATGTAGAATTAATTACTAGTATTTGGAATTCTCTCTCTCCCTTCTAATCTTTTTCTCTTTTTTGGATTTAACTCGGTTTTTGTACTTTTTATTTGGCTCTTTCTTTACATTTACAATAAAGAATGGACTTCAATTAAGTTCCGTATTGCAGCAATGAAAAGAAAATTACAAATAAAATATTTATTTTTTTCTTGCTTTAAACAATTTTCCAATATAAATTTGAGATTCTTGCTTTAAACAATTCTCCATTATCAATGATATAGAAAGTTGAGATTATCCTATTTGTGTTTGGTGAATGAAGAGAGGACAGTGAAGAAAACACTAATAGAAGAATAAAGAGTGAATATTAACGGAAGAGTAAAGAGGAGTAATGTCAGTTGGTGGACGAATCATTGATGACCTTAAAGCAGGGTTTTTTTTCTTTCTTTTAAACAGAATTCGGCCGCTTGTCTGATCGTCCTTGAAGAAGATGAGCCCCGTGAAGAAAACACTAATAGAAGAATAAATAGTGAATATTAAAAGAAGAGTAAAGAGGAGTACTGTCAGGTGCATAAAAATCATTTTCTCTGTTACAATGAAAAAACACAAGAAACTGTCTTTTTGATATTTTTCAAAACAAATTACTAAACATGATTTTTGCGTTTGTCTCTCCTCTTTAAGGATTGACAAAAAAAAAAAAAAAAAAAAAAATTTAAGTTACTAAACACACTCTTAAATAACTGTTTTTCATTAGATATAATATTATTCTTTTTTATTTTCTGTAAAGACAATTTCATCTTATGTTTTTATGAAGTCATTCTATTATCAGGTATAAGACAGCTATCATACCAGTAATAATGGAGGTACTTTAAACAAAATTGCTACCAATCAAATGAAGTAGTAAAAGTACTTTACATAAAAGTATCACCCATGCGGTCCATCATTTTTACTAGCAACAATGACTATGACCGCTCGACCATACAAATGTAGGCCGTAATGACAATTTTATTTAATTTGAGTGCCCTTTTAAAAATTGGGAAAAAAGTGAGTCTGGAGGACAATTAAATTTTCTTCCATAATAACCATTCGAGAATGTCATATCTGATTTAATGATGCTGTGGAATTTTCTCAATCAACATAGAGACGAGTTATGAACTGTGAGTATGTGAGGCAAGCCATGCCGATTGACCACGCACAAAAAGTAGAAAGGAAAATTCAACAACAATAAAACCCCATTGACTTCATTTTATTTTTGAATTATTAAAACACGTTTCAAAAATTATCATCACTCAAATTCAATTTTACTTTTAAAAACGACAATTTTATTCTTAATTTTTTTATTTCAAACTATCAGATAATTACCCACCAACTACCACCAAAACAATATTCCTTCTCCACATTGGAAATCCATTTCCGGCATCAGCTCTGTCATACCAGAGCAGGTTTGACAACTCCAAAGCACTCGATTTCTCCATCCCGCCAATCTCTCGTCGGATACAAATGTGGGCCGTAATAACCAGTTTCATTAAAATTTATTTAGTGAAGCGACACGTTTGGCCCATCAACATGGAACCCAAAAAGAAAGAAGTAAAATTAGACTAGTTCATCAATAGAAGAAGTCTCTAGATACTGACGTACCAAATGACAATTTCAGATTAATATTATGGACAGCACTAATCACAGAAAATTACTTATTTCTTACAGAAATTTAGAGAGGAGTTATGACCTGTGAGGCAAGCCATGACGACCCACAAAAAGTAAACAATGAATGAACCACACATCAAAATTGTCCTATAAATACTTGCTCCAACTTCATTCTTTTTCATAGAACATAATTAGCAATCTCAAACACAACAACCCGTTTGCAACAACCCACTTTTTGCTCTTCAATTTCTGTTTGTTTTAGCCATAAAATAGAATGGCATCCCAATTGACTCTCTTGGAGGTCTGGGCTAGCCCTTTTTCACAGAGGGTGAAAATTGCCTTGGCTGAGAAAGGTATAGACTTCGAAATGAAAGAAGAGAACTTGCTTAATAAGAGTCCTCTGCTTTTAAATATGAACCCTGTTAATAAGCAAATCCCAGTTTTGATCCACAATGGGAAACCAATATGTGAGTCCCTCATCATTGTTCAATACATTGATGAGCTCTGGAACCATAAATCTCCATTGTTGCCTAGTGATCCTTACAAGCGCGCCCAAGCAAGGTTCTGGGCTGACTACATTGACAAGAAGGTCAGTTCAACTCTTCCATTTGTTCTTCATTTAATCACTTAGTAAATGGGATCCTATATATGTGTATATGTTATGTTTATATGATTGTATATATACAATTAGCCAATATGAACCTGTATTGTTGTACTAGTTAATTTTATCAATGTCATAGCAAATTTAGGTCTAACAATCCTTTATATGTAGATATATAGCATTGGAAGGAGTTTAGTTTTTACCAAAGGTGAAACTCAAGAAACAGCGAAAAAGGAGCTGATAGAGTGCTTCAAAGTGTTGGAAGCAGAGCTTGGAGAGAAGACTTATTTTGGGGGAGAGACCTTTGGTTTTGTGGATATTACACTTATACCCTTTTACGGTTGGTTTCACGTCTACGAGACTTATGGCAACCTTAGCATGGAGGAAGAGTGCCCTAAAATTGTGACATGGGCTAAAAGGTGCATGGAGAAGGAGAGTGTGTCCAAGACTCTTCCAGACCAGTACAAGGTCTTTGACTTCATCACGGAGATGGCAAAGAAGTTTGGTGCTCAGTGATAACTTCTTTAATTATAAGAAAAAGATATAGAAATTATGTGATGGTGTTGATTACTATTTGGAATTCTCTCTCTCTTGTAATCTTTTTTGTCTTTCTACTTCTTCTTTGTTGAGAGGTGTGATGTTTTTGTTACATTTATAATAAAGGACTGTACAATAAGGACTTCATGTTATGCACTGCAGCAATGAGAAGAAAATACAAACGAAATAGTTACTTATTTCTTGCTTTAAACACTTTTCCATTATCAATTCAAGACATTTTTGGGATTCCGATCTTTTGGTTCAAGTACTCTTTTCTTTTCTTAAATAAAGCATCTGCTAAGCTAAGTCAGATACAATTAAAGTATTGTTTTCTTATTATTATTTTTTAAGTATTTTTCCATCTTCATTTCTCTCTCAACCCTGCCGTCCAAGAAATTTGTGGATATCGTGTTCGCTTTTTTCCTACACATTAAAAGTGGTAGTACTTGTTTTGAGTAACTCTTTGGTTGCCAGAAAAACAGCAAGTGAATGTACATTGTGGTTGTAGTTTGGGATGAAAAAAAAAGGCAAAGATGAAAACACAAACAAACACATTGAAGTATATATGCAGAGGGTGGCAATGTATGGATGAGATCATACGAATGTGTGTGTGTGTGTGTGTGTATATATATATATATATAGTTGATTATCCAAACTATTCTCTCATCATCATCATCATCGTAAGTGAATAAGTTTTAAGCCATTAACCATAACTGGGGGACAATGATAATAAAATTTTATATATTCTCAGCACAACCTAGAAATTGAGAAAAGTACAGCATAAAAAAAATAATAAGTAGGAAAAAATAGAAAGAATAACATCCAGGCAGGTAGCAGACAGATTTTATATATTGCAAACAGATTTTATATAATTTTCAGTATATATAAAACCATATTAATTAGATTATTAATTGGTATCCAACAATTTAAACATTTAAGAATTCCAACATACTCACATTCAAATATTTAAAAGAGTCCTATGTGCATGTGGCTTAAACGCACCATTTATATAAGCAAAATAGTCAAATTATCTACCAATCTCACCACCAAAACGAATGCAAATATATCAAATTATTATGGAGTGCAATTCTTTAACGCCATTTACAGAGTTAGGTATATGGACGTAATTGAGATGTGCTAGCTTTTGACTTTTGAGAATGCAAGTGAAAAGGAAAAGGATAGGGTAACAAAGACCATGTAATTACAGTACAGTATATGATCACAAACGTTACATTCATTTTTGGACGTTGTATGAAGTAGCAGTAAGACTGTAAAACAGTAATGGTATGGTAAAACAGTAATGGTAGGGTAAAATTTGGTTTAACCAAAGTTACAGTAATTGCATCCCTGATGTTTGCATCAAATAGCTAGCTGTCGCAGGAAAAATGTACTGGTTTGTACGAAGCAATAGTATACCACTTTAACCAAACGCACTCACGTACCTAGCTAGCAACGTACTGACCAGACCAGAACCAGCTTGTGAGGAAAGCGATGAACATTATGAGGAATTGGTTTTTTTTTTTTTTTTAGTTGGCATTCAAACACACATGCCTCCACTAAGGCTCGAACCCTTGACTTTCTTTGAGAAGTATGGGCCTAGTACCGCTAGGCTACAGATTTGTTGATGAGAAAATTATTTACAAGAGAGATGCAAAAACGGTTGTTAAAGCTGTAAATGGTTTAATATCCCCTCCTACATTGTTACGTTCCATTATTGAGGATATTCAGAGTTGGATGGAAGATTATTCAAACTTCTCAGTTGTCTCCATACCTCGAGAAGCTAATGGTGTTGCTCATCATTTAGCAAGTTGGGCTCTTAGGAGTAAATTAGAGAAGATGTTTTTATTTGAAATTCCATTATGTATTCAAGATTCTGTTAATCGTGATCTGTCTGTAGATTGCTGAACTATCTTGTTTATTTCTCTGTTTATCAATGAAAAAGCTTGCCTCTGTTTACTTTTACAGATGTAACACACACACACACGCACACATACACATATATATATAAATATATATGTATAAAAATTGACAGCCATGACTTATTTAAATCCTTGGTCCAAATTAGACTAATTGCAACATGCAAATAATTACCTTTGAGGGAAACAATAGTGAAATTTTGTAATAATTTTAGTTGGACAATAGTGAAAATTTATAGGTATATAACTAAAAAAGATAAAATTAGTAAGGGTATAGTATTAAAAATAAAAAAGTCAAAAGGGACAACGGTCCCCACTGAGTTGCACATAGGTCTATGTCTGCTTTGGCCCGATAAACCTTTCAAACCAAACACTAAAACTCACCGAATGTGTCATTGTTTAAAAAATACTCAATTTGTGTAATGTATACAAAATATTAATGGTGGGCTAGATCCATCCTCATTAGGGGGTGGACAACAATACTCGAATTCGCTCTAATTCGTGATCAAATTAGATTGTTACACTCACGAATTGGTGACAGATTCAAAAAAATTGAATCCGTAACTCATGGATCGGATCATAGATTGGATTTTTAAAATTCAATCCGATTCGTGAGTCCGATCCGCGAGATATATATATATATATATATATATATATATATATATATATATATATATATATATATATTCAAAAAATGTATAAGCTAATTTAATTAGTTAATAATTATTTAATTAAATCTAATAATATATTAGTTAATGATCATTTAAATATATAAATTAATGTTGATAAATTGAAATTTTATCTATCGGACTCTTGTTATAAAATAAATAATGTTTGACAATTTAAGAAAAACCCCAATTCGTAAGTCTGATCCAATCCGTCATTCTAAAAATCTAATTCGATCGGTATAATAACGGATCGGTAATGGATTAAGATTTTCTTAATCTGTTAAGAGAGCAATCCTAATCCGATCGGTGGCCACCCCTAATCCTCGTAACAATTGTATATACAGATGAATACATTTATTATATGTGTACGGGGTTTGCAACTTGCATAGGCAAGTTGCATTCTTCAAATTATAGAGCAAGCTCTTTCTGAGGATATAAATATGGTTTCATCCTTCCATTGCAAGGTGCATCCTGAACTGTAGAAATAAATCCCTCTCTAAAAGTCTGTGTGTGTGTCAATATTATTGCTTTGTAACTTCTCACTCTCTATATTTGTTCTTACATTTATAACAGCTCCAACTTTATTCTTTTCCATAGAACTTAATTAGCAATCTCAAACTGTTCGACCCATTTGCAACAACCCACTTTTTGTTCTTCAATCTCTGTTTTTTTGAGTCATAATTAGAATGGCAGGCGAATTGATTCTCTTGGACTTCCGCCTTAGCCCTTTTGCACGAAGGGTGAAAATTGCCTTGGCTGAGAAAGGCATAGACTATGAGTACAAAAAAGAGAACTTGTCGATCAATAAGAAGAGCACTCTGCAAGGTTATTTATTTAATTGTGACCCACATGATTTTGACATGTGACATATTACTTGATGACTAAGTAAATAGATATCAATTAATATTATTTATTCTTGGTCAACTTATAATTACCTTTTTGGTAATTACTTATTGAAGAAGTGTTTTCCTTCTTATTCCTTACTTTGATGAAAAGTAGAATTATGTTACTAAAAGGAAAACTGGTCATCTCTCTGCCTTTATAAAAATGCATATATTCCATCAATTATGTACGATTAATGATACAACACGTAAAAGTTTTATGTGTGCAAAAGGCCAAGAGAGATAAACCAGTTTCCACCTTTGCCTGTTGATCAGAGTTACAGATTAGTTCATGGCAGAAAGGATCTCGATGTTGGACTTGATCTTTACGATATTTGCAATCACAGATCGAAATATTTATATCTAATTATATTTATTTATGCGTTATAGACTATGTGAAAATAATGAAGTTCTAAGATTATGGGATTCGTGTTTATTTGTGATTAATGGCTTAACACGAATAATTATAGTTTACATGTGGTATCAGAGCAAATGGTTTAGGAACTCTTTATTTTTCACTAAAGTTTGCATAAATAATATATGTATAAAAAATAATGTAAAATTAAATAACTATATAATTAATTTTTCTTTTCGAATTACATATACACTGTATGTGTTTATTTATTAGTTTCATGGGCTATTCACGGATTATGATAAATTTGAGTACATATTGTGAATCGTCAGTTTGTATTATACTTCAAGCAAGATGCAGAATGTTTATAGATAAACAAACAATGCAATTTGTATTACTGATTTCATGCATAATGGATTATTGGTCTTCGTGCATGATTTGAATTGTATAAAGTATTACTGATTTCATGCATAATGGATTATTGGTCTTCGTGCATGATTTGAATTGTATAAAGTATGAAAGACTTTATTTTTAATTATCTAAAAAATAATAAATAATTAAATACATAAAGTATATGTATTTATTTATATGTGTGAGTTTAAAATTTTAATCTAATTGTAAATAAATTATCGTTTTGTACCCATACATACATACATATTGGAGAATCAATTTTAAATTGATTCAATTATGATCTTCAAGTCTAAAAATAAAAATAACATATTTTATTGTGTATATAAAGTAAAAGGATATTTTTTTATTAATTTTTTGGACTATTAAGTTTCTGGGATAGAACTTACCTAAATTTGGATCGATCAGTATGAGTATGTGTGTATAATATTAAATGGGTAAATTAATGATTAATTAGTTACTAACTAATTTAATATTCATATTATGTGATGGTTAGTAGCTACCAAAGTGGCCTAACCATGATGGTCGATGAATATTAATTTTAGTAGTAAATATAACTTAATGATGAATCAATCTCTATCTAATTTAATATTCATATTATGTGAAGATTGGTAGCTACCAAAGTGGCCCAATCATAATGATTGATGAATATTAATTTTTGTACTAGACATAATTAATCATAAATTAGTTACTATCTAATTTAATATTCATATTATGTAAAGGTTGGTAGCTACCAAAGTGGCCTAACCATAATGGTTGATGAATATTAATTTTAGTAGTAAACGTAATTACAATATTTCATGAATTATGATACTTATTATTTTTTGTGATATTCATGAATATTGAGTTTATTTAATTATGGGAAATAATTCCTCAAAGGGAATTGATTTTCAAGTGATTAAATGAATATTAAAGGATTGTATATATTTTTTAATTTGGTAGATATAGGATATCCAAAGGTAACTTATCTGTTTAACTAAAAAAATGTATCACCAATAAAGGTATACATATAAATACATATAAGTATCATTATTAGTATTTTATAGTTGCTACCCAAAGGGGTACTATAATTATACATTATATTTATATTTTTAAGTTATACATACGTGTTGTTAACTCAAAGCATTATTGTTGTGAGTATTTTATCTTATCATATTTGTTTTATTATATCCCTTAATTCGCATGCTACATCTGTTATGATTCTTGATAGGACTAACTTCTCATAATGGAATGAGTAAGTTGGGTTTAAAATTTAGATGTGTTAAATCTTGATTTAACATTCTAAATTGAGAAACCTACTGTTATTACTGATAAAAACAATGAGGAAGAAAAGATTCTCCATAAAGCTTGGAAGAGATCGAATAGATTAAGTATTATGCTTATGCGAATAATTGTTCCCCATAGTGATAGTGTTAAGGAATATTTGATTATAAGAATGTTTTCGTATTGTAGATAAATATCTAAGACTAAAATTATTAATTGATATAACTACTATGCATTTTTTGTTGGTACTCGTACCATGTATGATCGTATTTTTAGATAACTAATGTTGCTGTAAAATTGAGAATCTTATGGATGATTATGAATGAGAATTTTCTTATTCAATTTATTCTCAGTTTCTTGTTTATTCAATATGGGTCATTTCGAATTAACACTATTAAGACAAGTGGTAGTGAATGAATTGACTATTATGTTAATTTAGGAGGAGACAAGGCTTAAGTAGCAAGTAATCATTAAGTTCATCTCATGACTCAAGAAGTTAGAAAGAAATCTGGGAATAAGTCTGAAAGGGCATTAAGTGAGCAACACCCAAAATTAAAAGATTTAGGTCAATCTACTAAAAGAAAGGAATGTAATAATGAAAAAGTGTCATTAATGTATTTGACACTTTTAGAAAGATTATATGAAATATAAAGAATTATTCGAAAAAGAATGATAAGCTTTTGGTTTTTGTATATTTCGAATTACTTATTAAAATTATTTCTAATACATGATAGGTTGACTTAAGTACTAATATTTATGTTTCTAATAGATGCAAGAATTTTTTATGGCATAAACCACAAATTCAAATAAGAATTTCTTATTTATGATAATTAGGAAAAAAAAAATTTGTTAAAACCATTGTGACATTAATGTTTAATGTTAGACAATGGATTTTATTTAAATTATTTTAAAATTTTTATGTTTATTCAATTTCCTATAATTTGATTTTATTTCAACACTTTAAGTTAATGGTTTTTCATTTAAATTTGATAATGATGTTTATTCAAGAAATTCTAATTTGTGAGTTATGGTATTATTATTGATGATTTCTGTAAATTCAAACTTGATAGTTTATTTATTAAAAACATTTTGATCTTGCATCATAATGTTAGAATTAAGCGTAACTCAATTAATAAAAAATTTATTTTTCTTGTGACATAAAAGATTAGGTCAATATATAGTGAAAGGTTAAGAAAATTAGTAAAGAATGTGATTATTCTAAATCTAAACGTTAATAATTTTGGTATGTGTGAATTGTATTAAAGGTAAACAAATCAAACACACAAATAAATGAGCTACAATAACTACATAACTTCTTGAAATTATTATTTGTACACCTTCCAATGTTCCATTTTTTGGAGGAGAAAAGTATTTTATCGCCTTTATAGTTAATTTTTCACATTATGGATATATCTATTTGTTGTATGAAAAATCTCAATCAGTGGGTACTTCTGAACTGTTAAAGTATACATAAATGAGGTTAAAAAACAATTAGATAGAACAGTGAAAATCATAAGGTCATATAGAGGTGGAGAATATTATGGAAAATATAATGAAACGGGTTAATACTCTAACCGTTTGTTAAACTCCTTGAAATATATGGCATTTGTGCTTAATACACTTTGCTATACATGCCACAGCAGAAGCGTGTAGTTGTAAGGCGTAATCGTACTCTTATGGAATTGGTTAGGAGTATGTTAAGTAATTCCTCGTTACCTATAATGTTATGGATATTAAGTAATCTAAAGGGTACAAGTTTTACTATCCTAAATATAGTAAGATAATTATTGAAATCGGTAATGACAGATTCATTAAGAATGGTGAAATCAGTGGGAGTGATAAAAAAAAGAATTTGATCATTCCAAAAATTAGGGTACAAATGTCTTTACCCATAACTTCTAAGGAAATAATTGTTCCTTCCGTTATTGAACCGTATAATAACGAAAAACAATTGAATGATCAACAACTCTATAATGAGATTGTCACCAATGAATAGATTGTAGAAGAATCATAAGGAATAACATTAAGACGATCTCAAAGAAAAAGAAGATCTGCTATTCCGGATGACTATGTGATATATCTGCAAGAATTTGTTTTTGATATATAGTGAGATATATACGGATCCGGTTACATATTCACAAGCCATTAACAGTAATGATTTTACTAAATGGATTAGTGTCATGAATGAAGAGATTATAAAGAAACCTTCTCTCTAGTATCTAAGAAGGAATCTTTTAAAATATCATAGCATTAGTAACTTATTATGATTTAGAGTTACATTAAATGAATGTGAATACAACTTTTATGAATGGGAGTTTATAAGAGAAAATCTATATGGAACAACCTGAAGGCGTTATATTAGAGGGTAAAGAATTCATGATCTGTAAACTTAAGATGTCAATATATAGATTTAAACAAGCTTCCTAGCAATGGTATATTAAGTTTAATGATACCATTATTTCTTTTAGTTTTTAAAAAAAACACTGTTAATCAGTGTATATACTAGAAGGTTAGTGGGAGTAAGTTTATATTTCTGATTCTATATATTGATGATATTTTATTTGCTAGTAGTGATCTTAATTTATTATATGAAGTTATCTCTAAGAATTTTGAAATGAAATATATGGATGAGATATCTTACGTGATAGAAATAGAAATATTTCATGATAGATCACTAGGATTTTTAGGATTGTCTCAAAAAGTATATATTGAAGGAGTTCTAGAAAGATTTGATATGGAATATTATTCAACCAGTATTGCTTCATACATAAAAGGGGATAAATTCAGCCTAATGCAATCCCAAAGAATGAATTAGCTAGAAGGTAAAGAGGCGAAAAATATTCCTTATGCATATATTGTGGAGTTTAATGTATATACAAGTTGGTATGTGATAAAAGATTATGTGCTCACACTTAGAAATACATTTTTTTTTAATTGGTTATTTGTTTCTTTTGGCTGGAAGAACAATATTATGAAAAAGTATAAAGTAATTTTTCATTACTTTGTCTATTATGAATTATTTAATTAGTAGCATGCTTTGAGGTTACAATTTATTATTGTTGAATTTATTTCAGGATTTGGAGTTATTGGTACCATTTTCAGATTGCTGAAAATTTATGCTGCAATTGTTGATCTTCTTGTATGAAAAATGATAGGTATTCTAAAGTTGAAATATTTTATCATTAAAGAAGATGTTTAGAAATAACGAATGTCTATTGAATATATAAGCACACAACTTATGATTGCAATCCATTAATAAATGGACTACCACCCAAGACATTTATGGAACATGGTAAAAGAATAGATCTTGAATGTAGTCAATGATGATTATTTTTTAATTGTGGATTGCTTAACAGTGCTTATATATATATTTGACATTTTGCGCTGATTAAATGTGTTTCTGATATTTCCTATTAATTAATGTACACGTACGTATTGCTTTAATAAATGGTAATAGAAATAGTCTTGGAAAAGACATTATTGTTAGATCATTATTGATATTTCTCATTTATAGACTATGTTGAATAGGTTACTAGTGTTGTGGTACATGGAAGGGACTGTGTCATTTACGGACATATAACCACCATGACTCGCATTGGTAGTTTAATTACCATGGTATTTATGATGACCATATCAATATCTTAATTTGATTTATGGTGCACACTAATGACTATTTTACTAAACCACTACAGAAGTTATCATATGTGCCAAGTGGGAGAATGTAAGATTATTTATTTAATTATGGCCCACATGATTTTGACATGTGACGTATTACTTGGTGGCTAAGTAAATAGATATCAATTAATATTATTTATTCTTGGTCAACTTATAATTACCTTTTTGGTAATTACTTATTGGAGAAGTGTTTTCCTTCTTATTCCTTACTTTGATGGAAAGTAAAATTATGTTACTAAAAGGAAAACAGGTCCTCTCTTTGCCTTTATAAAAATGAATATATTCCATCAATTATGTACGATTAATGATACAACACGTAAAAGTTTTATGTGTGCAAAAGGCCAAGAGAGATAAACCAATTTCCACCTTTGCCTGTTGATCAGAGTTGCAGATTAGTTCGTGGCAGAAAGGATCTCGATGTTGGACTTGATCTCTACGATATTTGCAATCACAGATCGAGGTATTTATATCTAACTATATTTATTTATGTGTTATAGACTATGTGAAAATAACGAAGTTCTAAGATTATGGGATTCATGTTTATTTGTGATTAATGGCTTAACACGAATAATTATAGTTTACACCCTCTACTTCTAAAGATGAACCCTGTCAATAAGAAAATCCCAGTATTGATCCATAATGGGAAACCAATATGCGAGTTCCTCGTCATTGTTCAATACATTGATGAGGTCTGGAACCATAAATCTCCTTTGTTGCCTTGTGATCCTTACAAGTGTGCCCAAGCAAGGTTTTGGGCTGACTACATTGACAAGAAGGTCAGTTTCATGTTCAACTCTTCCATTTATTCTTCATTTAATCAAATAAGTAAATGAGATCCTATATATGTACATGTATTGTTGTACTAGTTAAGTTTATGAGTGTCATAATAAATTTAAGTCTTACAATCCTTTATAAATATATATGCAGATATTTAGCAATGGAAGTAGTTTAGTTTTCACTGAAACCCAAAAAGCAGCAAAAAATGAGCTCATAGAGTGCTACAAAGTGTTGGAAGCAGAAGTAGGAGAGAAAACATATTTTAGGGGAGAGACTTTTGGTTTTGTGGACATTGCTCTTATACCCTTTTATAGTTGGTTTTACTTCTACGAGACATGTGGCAACCTTAGCATGGAAGAAGAATGCCCTAAAATTGTGGCCTGGGGTAAGAGGTGCATGGAGAAGGAGAGTGTGTCCAACGCTCTTCCAGACCAGTACAAGGTGTTTGACTACTTCATGAGGTTGGCAAAGAATTTGGTGCTCCATCAGTAAAATTCCAGAAGTGACCTTCTTTATGAAGAAGACACAATAAGAAATAGACAGAGAGCTCATCTCATAGATCGAATTAATTACAATTTGAAATTATCTCTTTCAATTCCCTAACAATAATATATTTTTCTCTTTTTCTGAATTTAAGTTTAGGTCTTTGTACTTTTTCTTTGTTGAGAGGTGTGTTGTTTTTGCTACATTTACTACTACAAAGAAAGGACTTCATGTTCTGTATTGCAGCATTGAAAACTATTGGGTGGTCTGGTCCTAGGTGTCGAAAACTTTGGGACAGAGACCTCTGAAATCTCGTCCCTTCCCACGATTGATATAAACACTTTCTGCATTTTCACCACTCATTTTTATTTTGCCAAAAAGTTTGGCGGATTTTAAAAGGCAGATCAGGCAAGATTTCAAGTTGCGTACACAGGAGATCAATTATGAATGGGTCCACCATTTAATGCTTGGGCAAACATCCTCTCCATGGCACCTCTCACCGAAAACTGTCTATGGAAAATCCAACAATTACGATGAAGCCATCTCACCTATACTTGTCTTGTCATTGCCTTATCATTGTCCAGTAAGCACCAACTCAGCATTTAAGGTAATAAAGTTACTGAACTCAATTTTGTTTTATCATGTATAAATACCGTATACAAAAATTATATACAATATTATTTTTTTATTTACCCAATTAACTTTTTACTTCTTCTGTTCTCTTCGTCTTCCTTCTTCTTCAACTTCTATTCTCTTCTTCTTCCTTCTTCCTTCATCATCCTCTGGTTCCATTCACTTTTTACTTTACTTCTTAAGACCCAAAATTTTCAATCAAAGTTCGCTACAGAAATTACAATCCACAAGACTATTCATTATATTATTATAATTATTATTAAGCCGAAATCAGCAGTGAAATCTTCAACATAAACCCTAAATCGACAGTCCTTTAGGTCATATTAAGTCCAAACACAAGACAAGTCTCAAAAAGATTGAAAAAATCAAGGTTTTGTGATACAGATCTGGGGATCTTGTAATCAAAATCAGAAGTACGAACACTTACCTTCAGCTAATGCATATTGATTTCCAAGCTGATGTTTTAGGGTTCCAAATCCAGAAAAACTGCACCTCCCTTTAATCAACACCACAAAACACCCTCACCTCCATTTCACAACTGTAACGATCCGAACCCGTAGGCCCGAACCGTTAGCAGGGTCCTTAACCGAACCCGAGGTAAACTAGGGATAACACTATTCTTTCTTACGTCAATACATATTATACGTGTCATTCCGGGTTTATAAAGTATAAGTAATAATAAATAAATAAATAAATAATAAAATAAGATTATATCTATAAATTATGTCAAAACGGTCTACTAACCCATCGAACCCTGCGGAGGAGCGTCGTCCACCACCTGCCTTCCGTGTCCTGAAAAATGTTAATGTAATAGGGTGAGCAAATTGCTCAGTAGGTAGCGCCTAAGACCTACCTCTTGTAGTCCCGTGAATGCAAACAATAAATAAAAATAGAGAATAGGAATCATACTAGGCCGGAAAAGAATACAACATCAAATCCAATTTCAAAATAACAATGACGTGCCATGATATGTGATGCCATGAATGTCGCTCCCCATACTTAAAATCACTTCTATTCTTCACTTTCCAAACCATTAATGTAACCCCCTTCAGTAACCCCTCAGCGATGAGAGAAGGATTAGCTACTGTTCCTGACCCTTGGTACCCCAGCAGCGTCATTTGGGGCACAGATAGCTCAACCACGCTAGGGCGATCTCCCTAATTCCCTCTAGGTTACATTAACGCCACGGACCCTTGGTACCCACTTGGCGTCCGGGTTTTTACAAAATTCTTTTCTCAAATCTTTTTCCCAACACCCCTTTTTCATTTCAAAATATTTCTTTGTACCTTTTTTCATGCCCATGCTATGAATGCATATCACATGTCTCTTTAATACTATGGAAATGGAGAGAATTATTATCACACAATTAACATACTTCCACAGAAAATTTTCAATAAATTATTAAGCATCATAGGCATGGAAAAATTAACATATTAAGCATACTTTACAATAATTCTTAGAAAATTTTCATAAGTTTCCATGTATCATTTTTAGCAATTTTGTCAGCACATTAACATAAAGAAATTACAATAATTCTAAGGAAATTTTCATAAGCTTCTATGTATCATTTCTAGCAATTTTGTCAACACAAAAACATATGGAAATCAATAATGAAGCATGACAAGTAATCCTAAGGAAATTTCCCTAAGCTTCCATATATCCTTTTTAGCCAATTCAACAACATAATAAGCATGAAAAATTAATATTTAAACATATTTTCTATACAAATCCAACAATACACCCAATAACATGCTTCACATACCCAAGTAAATCAATTTAAAAAAAAACAGTCAACTCAAATTAAACATACTTAACATGGATTATAGTAGAAAATTCACAAAGGTGCATGAAAAATGGGAATTAGAGACCCCTACCTCTTAGGATAAAAAAACTCTCAAAATGGGTCTCAATTTTCGGACTTCCTTAAGTGGCCAAAAGCTGAAATTGCTGGTATGGATTTGAAAGTCTCGTTGTGAGCTTTAATTTGCCTCAAACGGCACTTAAAATTATCAAGTGTTGTGAAAAAGATCTAACTTTGAATTTTTAATAGAAAAAGAAAATGAAAATGAAACCAGAAGAGTGAGGTGAGAGAGGCCAGCGGGAGAGAAGAGAAAACAGAGACCAGACATGGTCTCTTTGATATTAAATGGTCTAAGGGTGAGTGTAATACCCCTAATTTTAAAAATGATAGTCCTGGTATTTTAATAAATTATTTGAGTGTATTTTTGTTTGTTAATTGTTTATTTGTGTTTATTTATTTTTTTTTTAATTGCTTTAGTTGATTTATTTGAGATTATTTACATTTTGTGACTTATTTGATTTAATTACATTTAATTTTGTATTTAATTAATTATTGTTGTTACATTGAACTACTTGATAAATTGTTTGTTTTAAAATTGAATTATTTGGTAATTGTTAAATTTGAATAAGTTAATTATGTAAATACATTAACTAATGTTTTAAATATGTTTTCAGTTAGGGTTTTTCTTGGAGCCATCATACAAGTATCTAACGTGTATGTAACTTAAGTTTATGGGCCGACTCTAGTTTAATTAGGGTTTCTGCCTTAGCTCTAGTTTAATTAGGGTTTTCTAAGGGCCTATATATACACGTATATGAGTTTCACTAAGGGTTTGGAGAACCTTATTCACGACACAGTGAAAATAGAACGTAATAGAGAGAAAGTTGAGAGAACAGGGGAAATCGTAAGAGCTACCAAGGACAAGAACAGAGAGGATCAAAGGAGGGTTGTGGTGGATTAAATCACACACATAGGAGGCTTGAAGGAAGTTAGTAGTTGCCGGAAACTTAGAAACGACGCCGGGATTTCATAACTGAAATCACAGGCAAGTTCTTCTCTTTCTCCTTCTCTTTGACTCGTATTCTGTGCACCTAGATAATCTCTAAAGTTTAATCAATCAGTAACTGGAATTTACCTTTTTAACCAATGCTATATTAATGATCTATGGTGTTGAAAACAAATCTGTTACAGTGCATGCAAGTCTCGTTCCAGTTTTCTGTCCTTTAAGTATGTTGTTTCTGTTGTAACTTTAGTATCTGTATTTGATTGCAACTACTGTAAACAAAATATAGGAACACTACTAAGGTTATATAAAACTCATAGGGTTATTATTATTCTATTTTAAATATGTGTTGCAATTTGATCCGTTTTAATTCGTGCGTGTGGTTTCAGTTGGTACTAACACATGTTAAGTTCAATAGCAAGTTTAATCGTTGTAATTGATTCAAATTGCTGTAATCAAACCTTGGGGATGCTATTAGAGTGGTATTAAACCCTTGAGATCAGTTTAAGAAACCAATAGAAGGGTAGGAATTCATCAGAGAATGAGCAGACAGATTGAAACGGAGCAGAGACTGAACTGGAGGTTCTCAAGGGGGAGAGAACCGGCTCTCCTTCAGCAAAAGCCGGCTCCAAGGGAGTTTGGAGCCGGCTCCAAGTGGGAAAGAGCCTGCTTTTTCATTTTAAGAGCAGGCTCCAACCTTTTGTGCGTTCTGAAATGGGTTCCTACGGCACTGGGTGATACTTTTGACACCGTTTGAGTATTTGGATGGTTCTGATGGGTTGTAGGGACTTCACAGAGGGTTTTAAGGGTTAACTCTAAGTAATATTAAACTTATTGTTGAATGGTTTAAGACTTTCTGATAAAGGATGAAGCTGTGTAAAAATATACAACGGTGCACGCTATTAACAGAAGAAATGAACTGGATGGCTTGATTAAATTTCAGAAATTTAATGGAACTTCATAGAGGGATTAAATAGTTAATTTATGGTGTGATTAAAACCTTGAATTGACTTAAGTTGATCCATGGCACAAACAGTATAAAATTGATAAATGTTCTACGCTGATAATGGATGGAGGACGGATTAATTGCTTAATTAAATTTTAGCAATTTAAGGAGATCCAGTATGCTAATAAAACTTGTTTTAATGCATGATAAGGTTTTTATATTAGATTGGAACGATGCATGTCTTGGATGTTAATTGTTAGAATATTAAATTCTTTGATGCAATTACATGGATTAATACTGGATTTTAATTGCGAGATTGTTAATCTTCTTTTTGCGATTATTTGGATATTTGGTTTGGACCGTAAATTACTTGTTTATTCTATATATGTTGTAATTTACATGGATCTGGAGGATTGTATGCACCGGTATGGGACGGTGGCATACTAGGGACGGTTTAGCTCAAAACGCATAAACCTACCCTAATGGATTAAAGGAATGGATTTAAAATATTGAATTCCTAATTGTGTTTGAAGTCAGATCAACTGTGACTAAGTTTAATGGCTTACTGGATTAATGGATTGTAGTTAAGTCGTACCAACTGAATAAGTTGAGTGACTAACTAGATT